CTAGCATGCCCGGGAGGCTCCATCTATTGGTGGAGAGCAGCACATGCTGGAAACCGGGCCCAACGTCCCTTGACAGTTATGGAATCACATCAGCGCGCCACGTGTCGACCCTACAACGATCATGCACAGCAGGCCAACCTACGCAAGGCACTATATATCTTGATGAGCAGCATTGATTGCCCTCATCGCTGAGGGGATTAACTGCTCATCTTCATGAAAATAAAATGCCCCCTCCGAAACCCTTATGATCTACTAGTAACAGGGAGGGGCATCCGGAGCGAGAGATTATAGAATCTAATACATCAGCACAATACGTGGCCGAAGCTCAGCAAATCCACATAGGCAGGTATGATACCTATCATGTCAGCGCGCCACGTGTCAGTCCCACGAAAATCATGCACAAGAGACCAAACCGACACACGTCGCAATATATTCTGATAAGCAGCCTCGATTGCCCCCTCGGTGAGGAAATCAGCTGCTCATCTGTTATGGAAATGGAATACCCCCTCCAAAACCCTTATCATCTACTAGTAAGAATATCATCTACTAATAAGAAGGAGGGGAATTCGGATCGGGGATGTATAGAATCTAGTAAAACGTCAGCGCAGCACATGGCCAGATGTCAACGAATCCAGATAGGCAATAATACCTATCTGTGAAACGATATTCACCAGTTCGCAGTAGCTGATGCAGATTCCAGGGCTCGATCCCTAGTTCCCCATCCTACCTGTGTACAGTACCTGTGTCAACCCGTAGATTTGAACTTGCGACCTGTAGGACCGCCAGTGGTAGGTAGGATCTCGTAGGCTACAGGGTATAAGGGATTCGAACTGTAGACTTGTAGGGTAGGAGTCTAGACAGTCCAGAGGTCGTAGCTGTAGACTGTCCGAAGGGTCAAAGTCGTAGCTGCTACTTACCTGAAAGGGCAGAGTCGTAGCTGCTACAGTACCGAAAGGCTAGGTAGAGGTTTCTAGAAGTGGCCTTTCGGAAGTCAGCCCACTGTAAGTCTAGGCAAGCGGGCAAGTGGTGGAAGTCCACCACGCAGAGTCAGCAGTCCCAGTCCAGCTAGTCCGGTCCAGTCAATCAAGTACCGCCCGGGACTGTGTACACCGTGGGCTAGGGAAATAGGGCAGACCAACGAGTCACGGAAGTATAAATCAAGAGGCTGCGCACAACCATTCATTCATTCCTGCGGAAGACATGCGGAAGCGCTGCCTCAGCGACTTGTGCGAGGAGGTCTGCAGTTGGCCCGAAGTAGAAGTGGGCGAGAGTGATGCAGGGTAGCCATAGCGATAGGATAGAGGTAGCCAGCGCTGCCATAGCTGCAGCTTAGGACGAAGTGTGTGAATGTTGTGTGAGTGTGCGGAGTGTCTCGTGTGGGATATCCAGGGTGGTCCAGTGTGTGTGAACAGTATGTTGTTGGGCGCTGAGTCGCCATAGCCAGAGGAAGCGAACACTTACCTGGAAGCCATATCTCTGAGTACTGTGTGGGCGCATGTCGCCAGTTTGTTGTGCTGCTGTTCACGTGCATGAAAAGTGTGAATACGTCGAGTCTGATTGCATTGGTATCGGAGCTGGTACCCGCTATTCCATGCGCGCCGTCGTGTGCAGGCACTGAAGCGCCATAGCAGAGGTGGCCGCTGAGGGAGACAGTCCGCCATAGCGGACCCGAGGTTGAAGAAGGCGCCGCGCACCTGCAAGAGGACCACGACGAAGACT